CCAGGGTACCAGTTTCTCTTAACGAGCACCTACATCATTTCCTCCCACCTCTGTATCCATCCCCAGTACTCAGCCTCTGTTCTCTTTCCCCGGACTCTGCACTTTAGTTTGCCAAGAACTTGGAGGCCATCACTGCAAATGTTCTCCTCCCTCAGCAATGCTAACATCCTCAAGCTCCAGCAGCCACGGGTCATTGTCAGACAGCTATGCTTAAAGCATGATAACAGCTGCAGCATGGCAATACTTAGCATATTCAAATACTTTATGGGGACCAATGAATAAATTTACATAACGGTCCTAAGAGATAACCTGATCACCAGTTACCACTTACCCCAGTTAATGGCTCCCTCAGGCCCAAGAAAAGTGGAAGCAGCAACCCTGGCTGTCTCACATCAACCCTGACCCCAGTGCCATGCTCAGGGTGAGCACCACTTACTGCAGAAAGTGCCTACCCAGAGCAGAGCCGATGTCAGCACCACCAAACTAGGACACAGAATGGTTGCATCAGTCTGGTGCAGGAGCTGGTCCTAAACTAGTCCTGGTTGCAGAAGAAGGAGGCAGGTTTGCTACTCTAGGGTGTGTCGTACTTGAGCAGCATAGCTGCCTACCATCAGCTGGTGCTCTAGGTAGGTTTTCCCCTAATTTCATGGTCCAGAAGATGCTCTGCCTGTACTTCAGGGATCTCTGGTTTGTCTGCACTGGATTAGACTGAAAAACTCTTCACAACACTGGACTGTGACACTGAGTCCTCCAACAGTAAGGAAAACAGTTTAGTTACTCCATTTTAATGCATTCCCAGATCATGTTAAAGCCTTAAATTAGCAGGAGGTAAGTGCACTCCCTTAGCTGGAGAAAAGGTTTCTCCCTGGCCTCAGGACACAGCAACTTTCCTAAATCACATGTTGCTCCTTGGACCTTTTTGAGTAGAAACAGGCCACAGCTGACAAATCTGCACAGAAATGCTCGTTTGGAGCAATTGCTCTGATGCTATTGTGCTGCTGATTCAGGAAGGAGATTTCCCCAGCTTATTCTTAAAGCATTTCACCCAACTGAAGATTCAGTCTTTTTTCTTCAAGCATAAATCACCTTCCAGACAAAGCCAGAAAGCATTCATTGGCCCTAATTAAAATGAAACTCTGTGAAAGTATAAACAGTGGATCAGCAAGGAAAAATCGGGCTGAGATTTGTGAACTTGCATTCTCCCTGCCCTCCTAATTTCTCAATTTATCACAAGAGATGGAGTGAATATTTGCAAGGTAGATTACTTACTACACAGCTTAGCCTTTGATGCTAATTTTCTCTAAATCTGTAGGAAGGCTGCATCTGGACCACATATAAAGTCATCTCAATCATTTGGAAACGTCTAAATAACCCTTCACAACAAACCCCTTGCTTTGGAAAGACCTGAACCAAACCATCTAACTCAAGCCCAACCTCCTTCTCTCCTGAGCATCACTTTACACCAAATTTTCCAGCTTGCCTGATGCCACCACAGACCAGTATTTCAGTCTCAAAGCTGCTTTCAGGACAGAGCAAACTCTCTCCCTTGGTTAAATGAATGCTGAACTGGTAAAGCACGTCTCACCCTGCGACTGATCCCAGCCATCACCACTGAGACCTAAAAAACTGTAACTCTTCTGACCATGATGCAACAAATGCACTAGCAGGAGAAAAGGACCACTGACAAAGCCCTATTGATGCAGAGCAATCAATCAATCACCGTTTTCCAGAAGGAAATGAATGGCCCATTAAGGAAGCAGTTGTAACCTCAACTTCCCCATAATGGGTCTTGGTCCTAGACTACCTGGCATCCACGGGATCTCAGCCCAAAGAAGGGAGCCCATGTAGGGCTGTCTGCTTTAACAGCAGGAAGGGAGAGGGTTTGCACAAGCACAGCAACAAACCCACCCCAACCAAACCCAACACGTGGCAGTGGGCGCACAAAGGGAGAGCTGAGGGAAGGGTTCTGCTAAGCCTGAGGAACAGCAGCCTTCCCTACCTTCTAGTCACTGGGAGAAAAAGCACCAGCTTTTTTTTTCACTAATGCATAACCACCGTTTACACAGACTGCATCTTACCTCTTGTGGTCCCACAGCCTTTTGCGAATCTTAATTCAGCAAAACATTGAAACTAGGTTCACAGCTCAGCTCCGATGAGTATCCTGCATCAGGAGAATGTTGGTGTCCTTGAGGACACCAGAGGCTGGGGCTGGCAGGGAAACTACCTCCACCATTGCAAAATTTTCCTGGCCAAAACCATTCTTCCCAGCAGTAGAGAACCCAAATGGTGAACCAAAGCTCCCTGAACAAGTAACAACCTCTGACACTCACTTGTTGTCTAAGTATGCTGGCGTACTTCTTGTCTTCCACAAACCAAGGAGAAGTACCCTGACACATGTTTGCTTACCCGACTGATCCAGTTCTGAATGCAAAAGGCAACATCTTCCACCTTCTTCCCATATCAACCCAGTATGGGTCCAGCAGGGATCCAGCTGATTCAGGCAGCATTAATGTGCAGTTGCTGAACTGACTGGTGCTGGATGGATGGACTGGTTGCGTTGCTGTTACCTCTGCACAGCTGACAACTGCATCCACAAACACCCACCATGCTGGGTTTTCAGTCATTGCTGCAGCGTGGTTTGGGCTTTTGCTTCATTTTGAAATTTGATGAACTTAAGAGTAGGCACAGAAGAAACCAAGATGAAAGCCAAGTGGCCAGAAAACAGCAGATGACTGAAGCTGTGAAAAAGTTACGAGCTGCAGAGAGTGGATCTTCTCCACCCGCATCTTTTCTCAGCTACTAACCTGCAAAAGCACAGCCAGATCCTCAGCAAGCAGAGCAGCACAGGGAGGGGGTGACACAGCAGGCAGGGCTGGGCCAAGGGAGAGGGGACAGAGATGGCTGCTGGCACCAGTTACATGAACTGATCTGCTGAGCGGTCCTGTGGCACGGCACACACCACTCACCCTCCACGCAGACCGTCCAGAGACCCTCATATCTGTCAGACATGAACCCACTAAGCATGAAAACCTAAGCTTGGGTCTCAGACAATGTTTGACATTATACAACAAATGCTCAACAGCATCTCATCCAGGTATCTGTTTGCAATTAGATTAATGGGTATCTAGAATGATACTATTATAGTTTTCAAAGCAACCCCCAAAATCAATACCCCAATAGTAAGCTCTAGTTTTTACATGTGGTACAAAAGGCAGTTTGGGAGAAGATGATCTAATACACCATGTATTGATTAATCAATTCCAGCCAGGATGCTAATGGGCTTTTCTTACAATGGTTGGCACTAGAAGGAAGGAGTGGGATTGCTGAATGAGAATGGAAGAAACTGGTTGTGTGATGAAGTTTCAGGGCGAGGGGAGGGCATGCAGTGGGGAAATGGGTCCTTCTAAAGATCGCTCTAAGTGGGCAGAGACTAGGAAGAAACGGAGGAACTGAGCAATGAATGGAGCAGGTAATGAATCAGATATATTGGCTTCAAACACAGCAGAATTATACCTTGCAATTTACTGTGGTTGATATTAATAACACTTTCCTGTTGCTACAGAAACCCTCACAGGAAGGTCTGCGAAAGAGCCCAGCATGGGTCTAGAGTCTATAATGAAGTAGACTGAACACTTTGTAGCCCTACTGGCCAGTGAAATTGTCTGGAGGCATTATTAATGCCTACCTTAGTTATTTTTCCATATTGGCACTTCTGGCTAGCACAGCATGGGGTAATTCAGATCATCCGTGCACGGCTGACAGATTTTCCTTCCTTCTACAGTCAAGAGAAAGAAGGAGCCCGTGTAGCCATACATTGCTAATCATCACCACTCGCTCTCTCCTTCCTGCCCCTGTACTTCATAAAGTCCTTTACTACCATAGAAAATAGAAGTACAAAACAGCTGGACCATCCTCCAGACCCTAACCATAGCACTTTACACCCAGTGTAGAAACATGTGAAGATCTAAACAAATCACAAACCTGGGGAGAACAGATCTGCAACAGGTACTTATGTCCCTTCCAGCTCCCGAAGAGCAGCTGTCACACTTTGCAAGGAAACAGGACACAGATGCTGCAATCCAGCCGAAGGGCTCTGTTCCTTTGCTAACCTGTTAGCAAGGGTTAGGTGCTTCCCTCTCAAGACAGGACACCTCCAAAGGGTAAGAATAAATTGCAGACACAAACGAGAGCATTACAATGCCTGAAAGACAGCAGAGTTGTTCAGTTGTTGCTAATCGGGTGAGGTTGCCTTACTCTTTGTGAAACTGAAAACGGTAGAACTGACCAAGAGGTTTTGACCTTGAGTGGCTGTGACAGTCACGGTCCTGGCTGGCAGGAGGCACAGCCAGCAAAGACCCTAGCAAAGAAATTCAGCCTGGTGTACCTTCTCCACAGCCAACAGAGTCATGCCAGGCATCAAGGTGACTGATAGGTCTTTGTAAAATTATATTGAGTCGCCAAAACTAGTACTGGATCTTGGTGCTAACATCCAGGTGATGCTGTTCATTCATTGATGTAGTTTGATCCTAAAGGCTAGACCCAGTCAAGAAAGGAAACCTCTGGGTACAAAATATTAGCAAGTCACTGCTTTTGCCATCCTATATTGTGCAATTTGGTAACTGGTTTCTATGGGACATGCTGAGAACACAGTCCTACTCACCCAGCCATCCTACAGCAGAGCCCACCAGCATCCTGGAGCAACACACGCCAATTCTTACACACGGCAACCCCGCACTGACACCAAACACCATGTTGAAGGTAAGCAAGTCTGCAGCCTCAAACCACCACAGGCCACGATAGCGGTTCAAAGGCTCTTACAGGACCTGCAGAACAACCCTCAAGAAAATAAGAACAATCCTCCTAAAAAGCAGAGTGAGGTGCTAATCAATACAGGAAAAATGCACAAACTAAATAACTTTTTTTTCCAGAACAACCTTCTCCAAACTAACTCAATGCATAACGGCACCTCAGGAGTCCTACAACCCTATCAGCGGACTCACATTGTAGAGGATGTCAGTCCATCCCTCCATGGTGATGCACTGGAAGACGGTGAGCACAGCAAAGAGGATATTGTCAAAGTTGGTGATGCCATAGTTGGGCCCTTGCCAGTACTCTCTGCAGGTGGTCCCACTCTCACATTGCCTGGCAGGAGGCTCCTCTCCACAAGGGAAATCTCCCACCTCATCACCTGCAGAGGAGAACAGAGGGGAGAAAAGTTATTGACTGAAGCTGGTCCAGCAGCTGATGCTGCTGCATCCTCCTTGCACCACTGCATGAACAGAATTTATGTTTCAGGTTTCCTTGTGCTGCTAATGGACAAGCAAAAGAGATCACGCTCATGTAAACATTTATATACTGCTATGTTATAAGAGGAGGTTTAGTGGCAGGATGGAGCAGAGCCATCCCTGAAGCGCCCATAATTTATAGTTTGCCCCAGTGTTCAGCCACGTCACCTATGAGAAATGCCATAAAAAAAAAAAAAAAAAAAAAAACACAACCAAACAAACAAACAAAAAACACACACCCAAAACAACACAGTGGGGTAAAAGCAAGGGCTTAGGAATGGTGCATACTTCAAACACTGTGAGCCAACGATACACCCTCATACAGCATAGCTGAGAGCTAAATATTGGCACGATCAAGCAAAAGGGCAGGTTCTTCACCAGTGGCTTAAGCAAGAGCTGCTTGTGGGTAGCACCAAAATTGTCCAGATACAGATGTTAAAGCACAGCTGCATGAGGAGCCCCTGGCTTCGTCACAAGGCAGTAGCACCATAGCAGCCAGCGAGGTGGACCGAGAGCTCCAGCCCCTCTGTAAGCTTCATATTTCTGCCCCACAGGGCAATGCTATGGAGTGTAGGTACACGTGGCAGGGAAAGCATCCAGCTGTCAGCTTGTTTCTCTGCTGAGTTTCATTTCAGACCCAGAGAAGACAAAGGAGGATGAGTCTGTCAGAGTTAAGGACAACAAGGGATGGCCAGAAGGGTAGGCAGCATCTCCCAGGGTCAGCTGTGAAATCTGGAGCATTGCAGCCCTCCAGAGATGTTGCGAGCACCAACAGAGAGCAGTTTGGAAAACTAAAGTGCTAGGTTTTCAAAGTAGATAAATATCCTAAGTAATATTCCTATTTACACAGAGATACAATTCAGGAAATATTAAAGGGGTTTAAAAGTGACACATTATGGTAATGGAGCAGCAAACTGCACAAAAATCACATTCACTGGGGGAAAACAAGATCAGCACTAACAATAATTAAGAATAATCATTCCATAGAGTAAAGCCTGCAGGAGGAAAACAAGATTGTCACTGCTGCTCCAGGCTGTGCGTATATATATGTGTGTGTGTGTGTGTATGTGTGTGTATGCGTGTGCACGCATCTGACGCGTTTTCCTGTTGACTCAACACCTTCATGCAGGGCATCTCTCTCCAGCTCCCATATGGGTCACCACAGGCTTTCGCAAGGGCTTAGTGAGACAAGTCTGCAAAAAGAAAATACCAAATCTGCTTCTTGCAGACTATTTGTGAGTGTGCTTTAAAAGAGAATCCAGTTTTATCTCTGTTTGGCCTTTTGTGGCCAGGTAATGCTCTGAAAATGCAATGCACATCTATTACGAAGGGTGGGGGTTTTTTTCCTTTTCAAAAAAAAGAGACCAGAACTGGTCCCTACCCCCATGGCTGGGGAAGACACAGAACAGGGGAGTCTGAAGGTAAAATGGGAAACAAATGTGATGCCCTCCTCTCCTGGAGCAGCTTCAGGGTACTCGGGCTGCATCAGCGGCTGAAGGTGGCTGCTTAAAAACAGTCCTGTGTCAGCAGAACACGACAGCAGAGGATGCAGGGAGAGGAAAACAAGTCAAGCATCCCCTGGAACATGCACTGCCATTAATTTTTACCCATTTTTCACTAAAAAAGAGAAATGTTTCCACTAGCTCAGAACAGTCTGTCAGGCTGAGCAGCACAGGTCTTGAACAGCCCTTTTGCCATCTTGCCCCAGCATCCCTCTTCATTGGAGTTTATTACTGACCTACCCAGGGCTACTGGATTAGCAGGGCTACAGCCACATTTGCTGTTGACACCTCTACTCGGTTCCCTTCACGATGCGCTGAAATAACAGCTGGTACCTTTCACGTGGCTCCCGATTCCAGGAAAAATCCCAGGAGTTTGCTCACTTTGGGGATTTGGAACAGAAACAAGCACGAGCAGCTCCTCCTCCTCCTCCTCCTCCAGTTTGCTGCTCGCTGACAGAGGCATCTCTTTAATGAGGTTCACATTTCCACACTCAAGCCAGCCTTTGGAGCCCATGGTATCAGACCTGGGCTTGTTAATGCACCTCTTTGGAGATGATGAGCACTTAGGTTTTAAAAGGCTCGGCTGATGGCTTTGCGGGATGCTCTGCTGCTCCACTCACAAGGGACCGCAGCGCCAGGAAACCTCACCACTCTCTGCCTTTCCAGAAACCCCATCGCACCATTTCCCGCCGAGCAGGCGGAATCGATCCTCATAATTTATCTGACAACCAGCTCGTTTGTCCTTGAGAAAAGCAGGGACCAGTCGCTGTAAACACGGGCATCTTCCCACACTGCCTGGCGAGTCGAGTCGGGGGGAGGTTGAGCCTGGCCACGCTGCGTCCTCCCACCGAGATGCCAGGTGCTGCGATGCAGAGATATGCAACACACACCCCAGTCTTTCGGCTGCACTCCCATTTCCTAGCTGGGAGCCACCCAGCAAGCAAGAGTCACTTACACACGACATTACACGTAACAAAAATCTGTTCTCAGTCCCCAAGCCTGGCACAGCAATCTCAGTCATCACTGAGGTCAGAGAGTTGTCTGCAGAGAACACAAACAGCTTTGGGTTTTATTTTTCCCTTTTATGTTAACTAGTTTCTGGGGGAAGAGGAAAAAAAAAAAAAATCACTTTTCTTTTTCGCCCCCTGGCTAAAGTCAGCCCATTAGCGAGAGCGCCTCACAGCTCAGCCCCCAGCCGCTACCTGCAAACGAAGGATGCATAAACTCACCCACCTTGGTTGCAATTTAACAGACCTGAAAATGCTCCTAGAAAATGCAAACCTGCTCATAATTGCATTCTCCCAGCCATCTCACCAAGAATGCTTCTGCTTCCCACACTCTTGTATCATCACCGTTGCTGTTACCCCTCTGTAATTGCTGCGGTAGCCCCAGAGACCTTGCAGCGGGCTGAGACCTGTTGTGCTTGGCATGAACACGCACACATCCCCCCAGGAAAGATTTTCTTATCCTACAAATTCAGTCCAAAAATTCATTTCTTCCACGAATCATCATCCTTCGCTCACAAGTCACAACATTAGAGTGTCCTTTACAAGTTGCGCTATGTTTTTCTAACATTACATAGGAACACAAGCAAGAAAAGAGTTTCACCCTGCTTTTGCAAAGCTCTGTGTAAACTGAATATATTAAAGTGTTCCCATCTTGTTGTTAGAAAGCGCTGTGAAGGATGCCCAGAGATTTGGCAGGGATGTTGGTTTATTACCATTTGAATGCATATAAATAAATCAATATTAAGACCTATTAGTGATAATCACTGAAAATACAAGGCCGTTTTAAAGACAGTCAATTGTACCTTAAATTGCAATCTTTTGGAGACCAGAACAATATTTTAATCTGTGGGTAGCCCAGATAACCAACACATATAAGCACTACTAAAATGAATATTAAAAAATTACATGGAAAAAAATTGGCTTTTTTTTTTTCTAATTGGCATGAGTTCTGAGTCATGGACAAGCAGCTGGTTTTGACGCGGCAGCCGGTCCCAGCCGAGGGGCTCTGGGCTTTCCTCCTCTCCACCTCCAGCTTCCAGGGTTTATCACTTATTCACAGGCAGACTCATCATTTATGCTGCAGTGCCTGATTTCCCTTTCCCTTCTCTGTTTGAAGGACATTTTTATTCTTTCTCTATTAAAGGGCTCCTTGCCTTCTATCTATTGTCCTTTGTTATTTTCTTTATTTTTTGGTTGCTCCCAGTCTTTCCAATCTTACTATTTCACACCGAAGTTTTCTCATACCCATGCAGCTTGCCCCAGAAACCTTGCAGGAAAATTCAATGTTCAGCAGCTGTTCTTAGAGCTAAACCCAATGAAAATGTAAACGGAGACCAATGAACCAAAAAAAATAATAAAAAAAAATAACCCATCCTTCAACAAGCTGGAACAAAAGGAATTTGGTTCTGTATTTCTACTATGAAATTCCCCCATGAGAGGAGGTCCTAAGCACCTTTGTCTCACTCTTGTGTAGACTGAGAGCAACCCACTAGCATCAGGGGTGCCATGGTGGTGTAACAGAGAGGGGAGAATCTGTCCCAGCACATGTAGGGTGAGCACAAAAGTCTGGTAACTCTCAGAGAAGGTGGGTGAAGAGGGAGAGAATGCAGTGAACGTGGAGGAGGAAAAAGGAGAAGCAACATAAGAGCAGGATAGAAAGCATCCCGATGAGATGAAGGGGACTAGAAGCATCACGATGATACGCTGGGAGGGGAGCGAAGCTCAAAGCTCACCTGTCTCATTAGAGAAGCAGGTTTTATGAAACTTCCCCATGTAAAACTCCAGCCCGATGATGGCAAACATCACGATGGCGAAGAAGAGGAGCAGCCCAATCTGAAGCAAGGGTACCATCGCCTTCATGATGGACTTGAGGACAACCTGCAAGCCTGTGGGGACAAGGAAAAACACATAATCAGTGAGGGAAGGAAACAAGGGCTTGGGGGTGGGGGCAAGGTAGGAGAGAGGGGCTGTCTAAGGGGAAGTTTAGGATTGGCGCTACCAAGCAACACTGCCTTTCCCAGGGTGCTGTAAAAAAGATGTTACAGCCACAATGCACTCAAGAGGTGAGAGATAAAAATCAGTAGAGTTATCTTTTCCTGACCTCTTTTCTTCAGGTCACAGATTCAAAGGTCCCTTAAGATTCAGAGACACAAAAGGCACTTTTCCTGAAGCCGGTGGAGTCCCAGGACTCAGCCTGGAGGTGGACCAGGTCCTTAAGGCAGACCCTGCAGCAGCACGGATGCAGCAGGAGAGCTGGGCGCTGCTGTGGTACCTCCTGGCCCAGGGAGCACCCAGCTGCACAGGAGCTGCCTCTCTCTCCGTGACGCTGCCGTGCCTATCACACCCCGCTTCTGGAGAAACACAACTCTGTCTCCAGGGCGATTCATCCATAGCTTTTTCACTGGCACTAAAACTCATTTTCAATTAAAACCAAGGGAGATAAGGCGAGAGAGGTTGGCGAGATGGAGGTGTCAGATAACCTCGTACAGACGCACATAACAAAACAACTTCAGCGATAAGCAGCAGCTGAAAGCCACCTTGGTGGCCTCTCCTAAGGTATGGGGAATGAAGGATCATCATTGTCTTGCCACCTTGTACAGCGCTACTGAGGTCAATACGGGTGCATGCAGGAAAAAAAAGCACGACGATCTGTTGGATGGGAAAAACACCGAGAGTATAAAAGAAAAGCATATACCATGCCTGTGTATGAATGCACCTCAAGGCTGTACATTTACTACAGGAAAAAATAACACAGCACAGAGCTATCACAGCATCACTGAAAACATGAGAGCAAATTATGCTCTGTGAGAAAATATTGTGCTGGTCCAGGACACATCACCAGGTGGGAGAGCACATCCTCCTGGGGGGAACATGCGACCCACACTAGGACAGGGACGCCCCTGAGGGACCACCTTACTTCTCTGACATCCTTCACAGTCACTACCACAAAACCATACTGTCTTGCACAGACAAGAAGTCCATGAAAAAACAGCCAGCAGCATCTCCTTATTAGAGATCCTGTTAAAAATTACACCTTTCCTAAGCCTAGCCAAGGACCTCGCCTGCGTGGGAATTCAGATTCAAGCCCCGCTCATGAAAGGATGCTGACTTCAGGAAATTTTGGTGCTGTTATTTCAAAGCATGAGCCCTTACTGGATTTCTACAGCACCAACATTACAGTCCTGAAGCAGCCAGGGAGGAGGCAGAGCTGATGCCCCAACCCAGGGGTTAATGCAGAGAAGAGCAGAGCATCCCACAGAGTAGCAGTTCCCTTTCACTGGCTCTTGCTGGAGGGGAAAAAAAAAAAATCTCACAATTCCACATTCAGAAATGAAATTTCCTCTTGAGAGCAATCCCCCACTAGCAGGCAGAGCAGCTGGTGAACACCAACAAATAAAAAGGCAGTAAGCAACGGTGTGGGGACTTTGACCGTATCAGGGCATCAGCAAGGCATGATGCAGCTCCTCACCAGAGCATCCAGACCCTTCATGTTAACATGTAAAATATATCAAGTTGCCCATTGAGTAGGCAAGACCAAGTTCTATCTGCTCTTTCCTTTCATTTTTTTCCCCTTATCAAAGGGGTAAAATCCCTAGTACAAGATGCTTAGCTAGTAAAAACTGTCAGAAGATCCAAGCTCAGGGCTGGGGGCCTGAAAGCTGCAAAATTTGGGTCTCAGGTCTTCATATCCTGGAGAATGAATTCAACCCCAAAGGTAAAGGAGCCCTAGGACAAATCCCTGCTGCTCACCTGCAAATCTGGGAGCGCAGCGCTGAAATCAGCTGGCTGTAGACAAAGGGGGACGACAGAAAATCAGAACCTAGCAAGGGCAGGAACTACAGACCATGAAGAAGCAGGGAAAGAAAATATTGCTCAGAAAAGCACGTAACACCCCAAAAGCTATAGAGCACCTTGGGCTGGGAAGATGACATTATCACGACACTCACTTGGGATTCCTGACACAAGCTTCAGGGGTCGCAACACTCGGACGGCTCGCAGCGTTCGCAGGTCAAAATCAGTCCCAGCAGTTGCTAGAATCCTGATTGTAAAAGGGGAGAGAGGGGAAAATTTGAGATTAAATGCAAATTCCTCTTTCCAAAGCGTGGATAAGTGTTGTGTCAAACCAGCAAACATCCCAGCTGCTTTAAACTTTATACCTGTGATCACATGGCAAATTGCGCCCGCTGAAACCCATCAATTCACACGCTCCTCCAGAGCTGCTGAGCCTTGCTCTGACTATAAGAAAATCCGCAATATCTGCCTGCTTATGAGGCCATTTACACATAGCGGGCAGGTCTGGCTCTGGCCATTAAAGAGCAGCACCCTGTGCTTATAGGGAAGCATACATCAATTTTCAGAAGGAGACAGTGAGAGGGAAATAAACCCCTCAGTTATGCTAGGAATTACCTCCCAGAGCTTTTCTCTATAATAAATGCAGAAATCCCTCAAGTACTGATGTCTGGTGTTTCCTAATATCTGAAGCAGTTTCTTATTACACAGTTTGTGAGTGCAAAATAAATTTTTGTTCAGAGCATCTTATTTGAGGAGAATATCCAGAAAGCAGATGCAGGTATTTCCTCTGGTATACTGCAGTAACTTTGATAAGAAATACAGCCCCCAAACCAGAATGATTCTTAAAAGTTTAAGCATTTTGCACAGAAAACGAAATAGCTTCACTGTTTCAGGACACAGCACAGGAAGAAATATTGTCACAGTGTCCACAAGCCATGACGACGCAAACTCCTTAATCGAAGACCCTGAAAGGTACACGACCCCACAGAGAGCAGGGCAAAACTGTGATCATGAATTACTGCAGCACTTCCTATGGTGCTTCAACAAAAATATTCTTGATTTGAGACACGGCTTCCCTAACGCAAGCCAACCACGCAGACAGTTCTGAGCAAAAACCCTCGCACCAGCTCCCCATCGGCTGCACCATTCAAAGTGTTTATAAGCAATTGCCATTAGGTTTTGCTAGGTTTGCTCCCAGGCTGTTCTGCCAAGGTGGAAGCAGCTGAGCATCCAGTCCTCCAGCGGGGTCTGCAAGTCCCCAACCACCCGGTACCAAACGTACAAGATGCCACCACTTCGTTAACCGCCACTGCCAAGAGCGTTGCCCACAGGGACCCAACCTTGACCATGATCTGATGCTTTGTCAGCCCTGCCCCGAGAGCTACAGCAGCAAGAGGGACCTGCAAACCTGGCTGAAAATTGGGATTCCAGAGCTGCCAGAGATCACGGGCAGAGCTGGAAGGAGGTTGCCAGACATGGGTAGTGAACCCCAGGCAGTCCCCTGGGGATCAAGCACCCAGGCACAGCACAGAGATGCTCTGAGCGGTGCAGAGCACCCACAGTGCGCACCCACAATTTATCTGTACCTCCCCAAGAGCCATTTTTCTCGGTTTCTGCTAACAGGCTGCTAAGCATTCAGCAAAGCGGCCAGCTACCACAGAAAAAAAAAAAAAAAGACAAGAAAAAGCAGAGTTTTTCAAAACGAGACATATAGTTTTACTAGCTAATATGTATTATGCAGGATGTCTGGCAAACTCAGCAGCGGAGGACATGGCTGTGTTGGGAGCACTCACAGCACAGCTACTCTCAGATAAAAACCCTGTCCTTGACTTACTGACTGACTTAGCACCGCTGCCAAGGATGGGCCAGGGAAGAGCAGGATCAGCATTGCTGTGCGGAAAGGGCCAGACTCCATCAGCGGGAGGTGCTGGAGATCAGGAAAAAAACATGCTGAGATGTTGGATGGCAAGAGAGGCAGCAGCAAGCCAGGACCCGAGGAGCAGAGCATCTATTCCATGAGACACCTGTTCCTACATTTTCACGACCAGAAAATTCACATTACATCAGCTCTATCGATGCAGTTTGAGCATAAGCAACAGGAGACAATTTAAACCAAGAACCATCACATGCAGAGACTTCTAATTTAATCTTCTGCACCTATGCCAATGATTTCATTCCTCTTCTCCCTTCCCTCAATCCTTGCAACTTAATTGCTCACTTATAAACCTCTGCAGTCTGGGAACAACACGCACTTCAAGTCAAAAGATAATCTCGAACATCCACCTTGGATGTTGCTACTAACGGCACAATTAGTCTCCAGTGTGCTAAGATGGATTTGTGCTGTCATCAGACAGGGCCCTGGTTCTCGGTACAGGCTGAGAGGAAGGGTGCTTGACACGCTTATTGTTTTGTTTCTAAATTCAAAGAGAAAACAGGAGTGAATGGGGTACACTGCCAATTAGTCCCATGGTGCCAGTAAACGTTCCAGTGGCTGGAGGTCTTCATTCCAGTCTTGTCTTCCTAACAGGCTTGATGCTAAAACCAGCCTGCTCAAACTACGGCAAGACCTTCCTTCTCCCCCAAGTCAAAACCCCTAATCATTCCTTGATTCCCACATCACCGGCAGGGTGATGCCCTAGCTAACCTACACAGGGCACCCCACAGCCCACCACCTCCCATGGCTGGAGAACTGGTCCACGGATCATATCAAATCACAGTCAAATCGTGCAAACCACCCATGGTCATACAGCTGAGCTGTCACTGCTACATCTGCCCATGAATCAGCCACTCTTGAAAAACAGTACAACCCCGGTCAGACTTTGCCTACAGAGAGAAAATAAAATAAATTAAAAAAAATACAGCTGACTCCTAGACAAAGCCACTTTTGGTGGAAGAAACAGAAAACCAAGGGGATGAGGTGGTAGCTCTAGGTCTAAAAAATCTACATTTGAGTGTTGAAGGTGAATGAGGCAGGTGGTGAGAAAACCCAGGTGGGCATCCAACATCTTTCCTGCACCGGTCGAAGCGGGGAAGACTGGATGCTGCAGCCTTCTCACACTGTGTGCTCACAACCGTGGCTCTGCAGCCCCTGGCGGCTGTCAAAATGGTGAAACCAGGAGAAAAGAGGGTCCTGGGGCTTTTTGAAGTGTTACGGGGTCATCATCCATCCCAGGAGCTCTGGCACATGGGGACTTACTGCTCCGAAGGACCCACTGGCAGAAAGCTGGTGCCCGTAATTGCAAGGGAAGAGCCGAGCAGCAGCTTTCAGCAGCTGAAGCCCAGCAAAGCAGCTTGGTGGGGGGAAACCGTGCCAGGGCAGAGATGGTGCCTTTTCTTCCTACAAAACCAAAGCTAATTTACAGCTGCTCAGCAGTCCATTCCCATGAACTGTTCACAGACACACGTGGAAAAATGCCCCAGTGAGGGAAAGGTCTTAATTAACTTTGTGGCATTTGCCAAAGTGCCATCTTTCTGGATTACTTTTTCCCTGACTCTAGCTGAAACTCGCAAAAACCACTGTGAGATAGGCCAGAACAAGTCAAAAATTATTATTAAAAATAAGAGAAATAGAGAGATCAAAGGAGCCGGTTGACAAGCGCGCCCTGACAATCCTGCCGAAGCATCCCTGGCTGCAGAGCAAACAGCTGAGAACAAAGCAGAGGTGATGGACGAGTCAGTGCCGGAAGAGGGAATCAGCTGTGAAAGGTAAAAAAATAGCAAAAGAGAAGATTTTTAGGAGATAACCTCACAAAGAAGAATAAATGGCTTGATCTGCAGCCCTTTTTGTACCTTAGCAGGTTCTACAGAAACGCTGAAATTCGATAGGCTTAGGATGTTGTCTTTAGTAGCACTTCAAGTGTTTAAGTGCACCAAAATCTCATTAAATAAGTTCCTCCATGTAATTTGCCTTTTTTACGAGCAGGGTGGCCGACCATTAAACCTTTCTTGCTCATACGCTGCTGTGGAGGATCTGGGCACGCATCCTGCCAGCCCAGCAGTGTTCAGGACCGCTACACTCGTTCCTCACTTTCACAATAACTTGGTTAAATGCTGCTGTCTGTATCACCGCCTCCACTAACAAGCTCTGACTGACATCTGTTCCCAGAGACAGAGGCCAAATTTGTGATAAATGCATGATAACTTTTCCTCTAGCAAAGCCTAGAATAAGTTATAAAAGCAGCTTATTCCTTTGGGTATAAATAAAACAAAGAACGAAGGGAAAGTTCCTTTCCTGAACCTTATGCTAACATAAGTAATTAGCAATCCATTTCTTAAAATATCTTGGAGCTCAGGATTTCCATGTACTGGTTCAGCAAGACACATGCTGCCGGACAACGCTGCACTTTTCAGAGCTGCCCGATAACAAATCTCCTTACTGAAGCCCTGATCAAAGAAAAGGCCTCCAAACTCCTTCAAGTCTAGCCTGAGATCTCTAAATCCCGAGGACCGGAGTGGGGAAAAGCTAACCCTGCTCCTCAGGATCAACCCTACTTCGTCTTCCTCCCACCTTAATGGCCTTTCAGTGGATTTATTTCAGCTTTTCCTGATGATCTGCCGGGGGGCAGGTGACAGAGGTGCTTTGCATCATCCCCAAGTCAGGAAGAGGAGGAGGAACAGGAACACAAGAGATATCCCTGGTGAGAGCCAAGAACAGATGATCAAAAATACGGAGTTTTCTATACATCTGTCTGCTTATAGAAGCAACCACACCTCGGGTCCAGCCTCAGCAAAGAGCAGCCGGTGAGGCCACGCTCAGCACACACATATCTGCAGGTGATGGAGCAGGTTTTCTGTCTGGTCTCCTGGCATCGCAGTCTATAAATCACAGCGGAGGTGGCATAAGATGTGCAGGAGAGAACTGGACCTGGCTGCAAGTCCAGCAGCTTCAGCGTCTCTGCTTGCGAGCAGATAACATACAGCTACAGCAAAAAGCAGCATGATTAATAGCTGAGAACGATTAGCACTTCCAGGGGGATCTCGCCACCGGACAGCACTGGTGCCAGGGCAGGTTCTGCTAGAGGAAAATAAATTGTAGGCATTTTTAATGTAACATTGCTATTTATTATAAACTCTAGTCCTAGAAAGTAAGTGGAAACAGCAATTTTTTTCAGAGACTTTATCCCAAGGACCCGTTCCTAAGAACCGAGTCAATCTCTTC